CCAGCTTGACAGGTGCCATTGTTCAAACAGGGACTGCTACTGCAGGGATTCTGGTTAAGAAAAAAAAATCAGTTCACAGAAAACGAAACTTCTAGTTTCTGTAACACGTGCTGTTTGTCTACTATCGGGAGACGTTGGAGACAGTTCTTGATAAGACACAGCAAAGCTTTATTTTTTTAGATTGTCGTGATCAAGCACGTCTAAAGAATGACGTGAGGATCTCAATACACTCACTGAAGAATCATACGGTCATTATATCACGATCAAGGGTCAGGTGACTTATGAAATAACGAGCTATTGATAACATATTGTAACATCCTTTCTCTTTTGAAAAGGAAAATGAAGAAAATAAAACTATCTCGTGTTAGGCAAAAGGAAGGAAATCGGCTAAATGAAAAATAGGGATATAAGCTTGACAGCATGTAATGCTTAATAGCAGACATAGTCTTTCAAATGTTCTGGAGGCCTTCGAGTTCGTGAAGGCCTCGCCGGCGAGGGCTCTTCATTGACCTCGAGTGGCTGGGGTTTGCTTGATTTGTCTGGCGGGGTCTGCGGCGGGATGCTTGCGGTTGGCGCTTCAGGGCTTTCAGCATACTTGTGCGACATAGGATTGTTTGACGGTGGTGATCCGTGGTCCTGCTGAATTGTCGGTGGCGATTCTTGAGTCTTTCTCAAGTGCACGCGGTTACGACGGTATGCTCCACCATCCGAAGTCTCCACGGTGTATGATCGTTGGTCATCTTTGTTGATCACCAGCGCTTTGCGCCATTTCTTCTCACCAGCACGTAGCGGTTTCATGCGCACAGTGTCGCCCTTCTCTAGCGGTTTGAAGTCTTTCGCGGTGCGGTCGTAGTACCACTTCTGTTTCTGCTGACGCTCCACAAGCTTCGTGCGGTCGTTAGATGGCTTGCTGCTTTGCGGTTGTAGAAGCTGACTCACTGTTGGGAGTAGGGTCTTCGTTCTTCGACTCATTAGGCGCTGAGCCGGGCTTGACCCGATTCCTTGTGTAGGCGTGTTTCTGTAGTCCAGGATCGCTTGGTAAAGGTCATTGAAAGCTTCGAATGCTTTGCGGAGGAGTCGTTTTGCTGTCTTCACAGCAGATTCTGCTTTCCCATTTGCCTTAATGTTTCCAGTGCTGATGGCGCAGTGTTCGAATTCCCAGGTACGAGCGAACGTTGCGAATTCATTACAGCAGAATTGAGGGCCGTTATCCGACACAACTTTGTCTGGGCATCCGTATCTGGCAAAGTGGTTCTTGAGTTTCAAGATGACGGTTCTTGCTTTGGTGTCAGGGAGCTTGTCCACTTCCCAGAAATTACCGTTGTAGTCTACTGTTACTAAGTAGCTCTTGTTTTTTAACTCAAAGAGATCATTGCCGACCTTTTCCCAAGGGCGTGACGGTAATCGTGTGGCATGAGGGTTTCTTTTTGTTGACTAGGGTCGTGTGTTCGGCAGATTTCACATGCTTCTATTTGTTGCTTTATTTCGGCTGACATTCCGGGCCAGTAAATGTATTCTCGCGCTCGTCGTAGGTACGATACTGTTCCCATGTGTGAGGAGTGAAGTTTGCTCCTCATTTGCTTTCGTAAACTGGCAGGAATTACTAATCTTTCTCCTCTAACAATTACGCCATCTTGTACTGTCAGCTCATCTCGTAGGCTGTAGTAGGGGGTTGTTTGCGACGGTAGATCGCTCTTGTCATTTGGCCATCCCTTAAGGATCAAGGATTTCACGACCTGCAGGGTTTGGTCCGCGGCGGTTTCTCTTTGGATCTCACTTAGTTTCTGATCACTGACAGGCAGAAGTTTGGTCATGTTCAGCAATTCGAGCTCTTTGACGTCTTTTCTACCAACTTCGGGAAGGAAAGCTCTTGAGAGAAGATCAGCGATGTACATCTTTGCACCGCACGCGAAGTGAACATAAATGTTGTACTTCTGAAGCCTCATTATCATGCCTTGCAGGCGGCGAGGTGCGGATGATAACAGCTTCTTGAGGATGGACTCAAGCGGTTTGTGGTCGCTTGTTACCTGGACAGGCCGTCCAAAGGTGTACTGATGAAATTTCTCAAGGGAGAAGACTATTGCCAACTTTTCCTTTGCTATCTGGGCGTATCTTGTCTCAGTGTCAGTCAGGGCACGGCTGGCATATGCAATAGGTTTTCCCTTCTGTAGCAGGGCAGCACCAAGACCCTTCTGACTTGCATCGCACTGTACGACAAGCTCTTCCTTAGGGTCGTAGTAGCTAAGAATGGAAGCCTCGGTTACAAGCTTTTTTGCTTCTTCGAACGCTGTTCTTCGGTCCACCGCCATTCAGTATCTCTTCTTGTTAGCCGCTGTAGGGGTTCCATGACATCGGCTAGGCCTGGTAGGAATTTTGCAAGATAGTTAACGAATCCGTTAATTAACTGTATTCCTTCGACGTCTTCAGGCTTGGGCATGTATCATACAGCTTTGGCTTTATCTGGATCCATTTTGACACCATGTGGAGTGAGTACATGTCCCATGAACGGAACTTCTTTTCATTTCAACTTCAACTTGTCCCTGTTGAGCGCAATGCCACGCTCGCGGCATCTTTGTAGCAGGCCTTCAAGGTTTCTGTTGTGGCTGGCAGTGGCTTCTTGCTTATTGCTTCCAACGCCGTACACTAAGATGTCGTCTGCGATAGCGAGCACTCCACTTAAGCCTTCTAGTGCTTGGTTAACTCTTTTCTGGAAAATTTCTGACGAGACTGACAAACCAAAGGGCAGTCAGCGCCAACGGTATCTTCCAAACGGTGTTGAGAACGTAGGGAGCAGGCTGGACTCGTGGTCTAGAACGCAGTGCCAATAACCTGAACGCAGGTCAACTGTGGAGAAGACTTTCTCTTGAGATAATTCGGGAAGAATTTCATCCAGTATTGGTATCTGATAGGTTTCTCTTTTCAACGCTTCGTTGAGTGGTCGAGGATCGATGCATACTCTCAGTGCACCCGACTTCTTAGTAGCGACTGCTAAGCTGCTCACCCATGGTGTTAGCTCTTCTACCGCTGCTAGGATTTCTTGCCCAACATATCGATTTAGCTCTTCCTTGAGGTCGTCCTTGAGTGCTGTAGGAACTCATCTAGTTGGAGTGATGACAGGTTTAACGCTTTATCAGTCAGCATTATTGTTTACACCTAGAACAATGCGATCTCTGATAAGGGAGTCACGCATGCAATCACAGAGATTACATGACTTGGCTAGATTACGAAGGACAGTGACACAGGCGTCAATGGATTCCTGTTCTACTTGGTTGCGGCTATTGAAGACATATCGTCCGTACGTTTCATTTGTCTGGCCAAGTGAAAACTCATCAAACTTTTCTAAGACTTTCTGTAAGGTTTTGTGGTCGGTTTCATTCTCGAATTGAAAACCATTGTAAATTTTCAGTCCTTCAGTTCCTATGCAGTGCAGAAAGAATGCCACCTTGTATTCCTCTGTTTGCGTGTTTAACCCAGAAATGAGAGAGTAGTTTTCCCATACCTGCTTATATGATTTCCAGGCGTCCGCCAGATGTCTTGAGGTGTTCAGTTTTCCAGGGGGTTTAAGGCCATGGGCTGAGGAAGATGAGATCGTGTGTGTGATAGACGCTGTCCCAGTTCCACTGGATGTAGAAGGTGTTCTGAGAGGTGCTGAAGAAATCGTTGCCTTTGCCGTCGTCGTCGTAGCCGTCGTTAGCATATTCAGATGAAGGATCCCACCGCTGCCACCATGTAACACGTGCTGTTTGTCTACTATCGGGAGACGTAGGAGACAGTTCTTGATGAGACACAGCAAAGCTTTATTTTTTAGGTTGTCGTCATAAAGCACGTCTAAAGAATGACGTGAGGATCTCAATACACTCACTGAAGAATCATACGGTCATTGTATCACAATCAAGGGTCAGGTGACTTATGAAATAACGAGCTATTGATAACATATTGTAACAGTTTCCAAATTCGTATATAGGTAGCAATGTTTGTAAAATTTTACCTCGATAGCATAGAAGGTGTATGCTGATCTATTTTCAAGAGAGAACGTAAACTGGTTTTCAACAGTAGCGTTGTTTAGCTCACATCTGTTTTTCCCTCCCTCCAAGGGTCCGACATTGATGGACACACAGCCGGGTTCCATATAACACATCACTCGGCAACTCCTTGCACTAGCTACCTCTACTCTCTTTACCACATGATCTTTCAATGCCTTGCCTATAATTGGCTTTTTGAAAATGATGTTGCGACAATCGTTACCTGTATCAAAAAATATACAGTATCCTTTTACGAATGATACATGACTGTGTAATAGAACCTAAGAAATCGGTTGAAGCATTTTTCCTCCAGCGCGTTCGATCTAAGGGTCCAATTCCTGCCTTCTTTTCTTCCTAGGTTTAATTTTCTGAAAACACTTCATTTGTACTTAGGATCATCCTTTCAATTGATTTGTCGTATTTATTACCTGTTCTCAGTTTACTCTCCCAATGTTTTTGGTTTCGTTTCAGCCGCTAAATTCAACAAATGTTTTCATCTTGTTTCACCATCCTATTAGTAATTCTTGGATTGTGAAAATGCCGCAAAATAGAAATCTCAAACCAAAATACTGTAGAGGGTTTTTTATGGAGATATTTCAATTTTTCTTAATTCTATAATAAGTTTATCGACCGTTTCGTTTTCTCCTAAATTCAAAATGTCTCTGTTTTACGTTAGTTAATCTGTGTTGTATGTGAGATTGAGCCAGCGTTAGTTTGATTTCATAATGTTAGTGAAGCATCGAAGGCTAACGGACGAAACATGTTCAAGGTGACAACTTATGTTAAAGAAGCCAAAAACTGAATGAGTTTTGTTCTCTGTGCTTCTTTACCTTAAGTTCTGGGCAGAGACTCATTCTAACATAATTACCCGCTTTAATTTAGGGATAACTAAGTATTGTCAGTTGTAACTGTTAACGGCTACATGGTACATCTTAAATTAATCGAGAGATTGGAAAGAAAAACGGTCTTTCATAGTGGAAAACTTTTTAAATGTCATATACTCACCGGTGCAAGAATACAGGAGGAAAATATTCCCTACCAAAATGTAAAGAATCTTACTCACGGTCATAATTCCGATATCGAATTGACAAGTGATACAACATGTCATTTGAGATAATGTGACTAAAAACATAGTGGGTGTGAGATAATGTGATTAAAAACACCCAGTGGGTGTGAGATAATGTGATTAAAAAAACAGTGGGTGTCTCTCTACAGCAGCAGATGTTAATTTCAGCATTCCCATTCTCCTTTAGGCGTCCGCTGGTCTATTAGCAGATCAGAAGCAGGTGTTTTCTTTACTACAAAACATAATTTTATTCTCGGAGTTTCTGTGGAGAATAACATTTTCTATTACTTTACGAACCCCAGCATGATAAGACAACAACAACTGTATAGATGCATCTAACATACAAAACCGAACACTGATTGCTTCAGTGTAAAAAATAAGAATAATAAAAAAAGTCACGAGAGTTATGAAAATAATTTTACATTATTTGCGGGACATTCTTTATGTTTCGTGAAACCTTAATACGCAGCTTTCATCTCATTGCAAAGTTAACCATTTTCTTCAAACGAGCTAAAACGAGCTAAAATGAGCTATGTGACATGACAAAGTCTCATTTCTCTTTCATTCATCTTTTGGTGATCTCAAACTGAATGATTTCTCAGGTATAACAACCAAAGTAGCAGGTGCTTGTAGATCGTGCCTAACAGTTCCTGCCATGTGATTGGTGTGCAGCTAAGTAACCAAGTAGTTTTAAAATGGTCGCATCCATGGCCTAATAGCCGAATTTTGAAGATGATTTCAAGACAACTTTCGAACGATTAGGTAACCCTTTTTTGAATATTTCACTTAACAACCAATCAATCAAAACAATTGGCTCGTTTCATGCGAGATCAATAGAAACCTTAAGTTTCCAACTTATAACATTTCACTTCACTGCTTATGTCTAACTACTCAGTATATCTACAAACTGACTGATAAAACTACGTATTCCTTCCTATAGGACAGTATGTGCACAACCAAGAAATATCTTTTATTTAGCGAGCTGGCAAACACATCGTGAATCCCTCCAACTTACCCATAAATTGCTCCAGTCCATACTGAAAGCTATGCATATTTTTCAATTTAAATTTTGATTCATTTCAAAATGATGTTTTCTTTGAGATACCTCACAGCACTCTTTAATTAATGGTTGGCCATTTTAAACATTTGCAAACCGAAAGATAATGGGCTCATGTTTTCGCAACGATTTAGGTGACTCGGATTGGATACGCGTGATATTAGCTGGGTTTTGTTGGAAAAGGTAATCACCGAGATTATCTAAGTACACAAGTTTCCATTGCGTGCTATTTCGATTGAATTGGTTCAGAAATCAATGGGCCTCATTTTCATTTCGGTTCTTTTCAAGGAGTAGTAATTTCCCTTCCAGTGTCACTAGTTGACACCATCAGCGTCAAGGCGTGCTTTCCGCCATGATGATACAAGCCATTCAGATTCGAAAAATGACATCCGCTGTACCACCAAGCTCTCTTGAACAAAGTGGCACAGTTACAGATGCAATAGTCATTATCTTGATCTCTGGTGGAGAAAGGCTGATTATTATGCCAGCTACGAGAGTTACCGGCATTTCCTGAGATAATGAATCATCAAAAAGGAGTAAATATTTTAGATAGCACAGTAACAGAACAAATGAAGCTACAACCTTATTTGAACTTTTCCAAAAAGCGAGTGCACGTGACTGCTCGGTGATCAAGATTTAGCATCCATCCATCTGCTATATAAAAGTCATGCACTGTCGAAAAAAATTTGGATATCTTTTCTTATCTTTCCTTTTCTCTTATTTTTTTATATCCTTCTTCGCAGGCTATCCACTTTCTTCTCTTAACGTTTTAGGAAAGGAAATATTCTTTGCCGGGCTTTCAGACAGTTTAGGCCGTCATAAAAGCGTAAATGATTTTCTCTGGATTGACTAAACCTTTTTATTTATTTATTTTTATTATTTCATTTCTAGACCGATGCTAGGTTCTTACAGTCTTACGGGGTAGAAGCTGAGGAACTTATTTATCGGATTACCTGAGTAGGAACCAAAGATCAGCTTTACTTTTCATTCTCACTCATAACACCAAACATGTTATACTCAGCATAAGCAGTATCCCCCTCAAAGTCTTTCAAGTCTACACGCAGCATATTGTTATTATCTGGGGTAAGACGATGAATCTTTTTCAGTCCGAGCCAAAACTCACCAATGAAATTTCCAAAACCAAGCTTGTAGTCGGGCCAGTAGCGGTAGAAATCAACCGAGCCGTCCAGTCTCTTCTGGAACACTGTCCATCCTCCACCAGCTGTTCTTTGATCACAGAACACCTCAAAGGCAGAAAAATTGTCGGGTTCGATGATGTACACACCGTCTCTTGTTGCCCCTGATTTGAATATTTCAGCACAGTTTCTGTAAACCAGAAAGTGTGTAAACATGATAACACTATTTCATCTCATGGATTCGTTTGTGTATTTCGCTAACAGTAGAATCCACCACTGCAGTAAAGAATAAGGCCACTTATTGTAGTTTAATAAGCGCGCTATCTGGCTATTAGCCATAGAAGAGAATTGTTTCGAGCAAGTAAGCTCAGTGCGATTTGAAAAAGTGTTTTTTGGCGTGGTCAGAGGACTATGGCTGATTTTTAGTCCTCTTAGTTTTCTCCTATTCACAAGCCACTCTCGACAAACTTCATTAACCTTCATTGCAGTATTCTCCAGCGTATCCACTCCGACAGACATCGAAAACCTTTCCAAGTGAATCCAGCTTGACAGGTTCCATTGTTCAAACAGGGACTGCTGCTGCAGGGATTCTAGTAAAAAAGAAAAACAATAGTAGCAAATTAAATTTAGACTTCAGATTCGTACACTTGCAACAAGAGAACATGAAATAATATCTTGATATGCAACGATCTCTCTTAAATTTTACCTCCATGGCGAAAAAGGTATAAGTTGGTTTATTCTCCAAAGATATCTTAAACTGGTTTTCAACTGAATGGCGTTGTTAAACTCACATTTGAGTTTACCTCCCTCTAAGGGTCCAACATTGATGGACACACAGCTAGGCTCCATATAATACATCACTCGGCAGCGCCTTGCATCAGACACTCCTGCACTCTTGATTACATGATCTTTCAATGCCTTGTTTATCATTGGTGGTTTGAAAATGATGTTGCGACATTCGTCACCTGTAACAAAAAAATATGCAATATTCTTTTACGAACAGAACTTGAGGTAAATCATAGGCGATCAGTTGTCTCCAACTGTGATCAAAACAATAGACCTGGAGCCCAACCAGAATCTCGGAGGCTTGGGTAAAATCCAGTTAAAGCCAAGATTACAGCTATTTTATTTTTTGCGATTTCCTTTACCCTTCGAGCATCAACTCGTTATCCAAATACCTTTTTATTATATGTACTGAAGATCTTAAGCTTATCATATATGAATTAATGAAAATTGTCCTCCCTCTAAGAATGGCTCTATTTTGTTAAGTACTTACTCCACAGCAACATTAAGCGAGACGTAATTAATTATGTAAACGATCGAACTCATCTGAAACTGAAGCTATTTCGTAAAACCAAACTTCTTGAAATACTGATTACTAACGCTTACAAGAATAACAATCTACCTTTCAATATAGCTTTTTCAATTTTTAGATTTTTATGTGCTCTTTCTTCTTGATTTCTTGTTTATCGACCGATGAATCATGCGATTTATCGCTTAAGCCAACGTTATTTATCGAATATATATCATTCCATGAGCAAACAGTCTGAGGCTAACGAAGGAAAAATCTATGTAATAAACATATAGGCCGAAAGTTGATTACATTTTTCCATTGTTTGTCTCAGTTTTGCGGAGAAGAACTAGTTGATAAATGTAAATAGACTTCATTATACCTTTACATTTCAAGTAGATATGTTCCCCAAGCGAATAAAACTTCTTATGATACTCACCAGTGCAAGAACAGAGTGTGAAATTGTTCCCAATCAAAATAAAAAAGACGTTACTCATGGCCACAATCTCGATATTGCATTGGAAATGCATTATTTGTGACTAGGTATTGCAGCATTTTGGAATAACATTGAGCTACGCATTTTGTAGTCAAGACTGCAGAATTTTGTAATGATCTTTGGTCGAAGCAATTAGTAACAACTTCCTGCAGCAAAGTGTAAAATGTTGACCCGCAATACCTAACACAACTAAGAATAAAAATCAATAGTCAGCAAAAAACGCTTCGCAGTTGAATTTTCGCAAAAAACTTTTACAACTTGGGTATGACTAGACTTCTCAGGAGAAATATCTACAGAAATGTCCACATACATGCTTTAGAAATGATATAAGCAGTACAGAGTACATTAAACCGTGATTTTGCTAGGACATTTTACAAAGTCACTAGCAGATCTACATTCTTAGAAGATTCTCGTTCCAACAAGATTTCATCTATAAGCGTCGTAAGTAAAACAGAATAACTGAAGCATGAACGCCAACAATCAAATAGGAGCCGTACATCAGCGGTCCAACAAGAGAAATATCTCACCAAAGCGTGAATCGAATAGATACTCGCTTGTTAATTCCAGCGGAGAATCGTGCTTCAGAAGATAACTAGTCCACTTGATTACTTTATGAAGACGAGCAGGGAGGTGCTGTCCTAGCGTTGCAATCTAACTTTTGTCAAACAAATAACTGTTAATATGGTACTTGTCCATTTCAGAATTAACTGAGGAAAAACGCTCCTTTTTCAAAGTTTGAAAGGTTTATATCCCAGAAAAATATTTAACAGATCATATCAAACCATGCCGAAGCTGTTTAGAAACGTAAAATAGTTCGCTTTTACCGATGCGTTTTTATTACAAACTTATTAGTGATAATAAAGCTTGTTGTCTCTTGTGCAGAAACGGCAAAGATCATTATAGCAAACGAAGTCTTAAATATTAATGACAATGAAAGCAATAAAATCTCAAGGAAACTTTTCAGTTGTAATCACGCCTCCTGTTTTTTTGGCCAATATTTTTATTAAGTGAGCATTCGGTTAAAAATCAGTCGGAACAGTTGAAAAAGATTTATTAAAAAAGGTTTACCAAAAGACCTTGTTGTACCTCAGGTGTTTTGTTATAATCAAAAACTAAGTTTTCTTTTGCTTTTGTCATCATGAAAAAAGTCATCTTGGTTGGCACTTTCAATAGTTGGTTTCACATCTTGTATGACAATCGTCATTGATACTGCTCGTTAAAAATTCTCACTGTTATTACATTTTTCGTTTGCTTTACGCTCTGTTTAAACATTACCAGCTTTAAAAATAGGGCATTTCTGTCACTTTTTAAATTATATTTGCATATTGGGGATTTTAAATGAGAGCCGCGATATATTTAATATGCCGACGTCTGCTGTTACAAGTTAATTTAAGCTTCAGTTTAAAGTCCTGATGAAACGGGCGTTGAGAAACTACGAAAAGCGTCCATGAAATCGAAAATTTTCAGAAGAATCGAAGTATGAACGTTCCTGCCATTATTGCATTAGCAGGGATTGTAACAACCCTTCTTGTGGCTAGCTGTTGCTACATTTGCAAGAAGCGCCATGTGGAACCGCTTGAGATAGAACAACAAACTGACGAAGGCCCCGAATAATAGAGGATTTTGTAACAAGTTTAGCCTCCGTAGAAGTTACTTAGATTTATCCACGTACTTGTGTTGCTGTCAGTGGAGAGATGACAATTTTTAA